GTGTGGCCTTATGACACACGTCCGGTGATGTCAGGGAGTGTGGCCTTATGACACACGTCCGGTGATGTCAGGGGGTGTGGCATATGCTAATGAGTTATGCTAATGAGTTCCCCTAGATCTTTTTCTACGAAACGACCCCTGGTGTGCAACATAATAAAATGTATGAAACAAGATGTGGTATGTTTAAAATGGAAAAGAAGTTAAGTAGTGATGGCAGTGCTGAAAGGCAGGTCTGCTGAAAAATCAAGCTGCATTTATGGTTAGCCCTGCAAATGTCATCTCTCGCCCCAGGTATGAGTTCAACTTGCGTCTTCTCACACTGCCCGTTTACTAAGCAATAATGAGCATCACCTGCAGACTATATCCTGCTCAGGAATCTCTGTGCTGCTCTACAAAGAACCTTAACAATTAGCACAGCTGACCCTGGCATCATTACTGAAATAAAGCAGAATGGTGTATGTTACTGATATCATCCCTGCAAGGATGTACTATACCACTGGGGGGCAATTTTGTGATGGTACAGGGAACCAAAATGGGAGTCAAGCCACCATTGGCCAGAAGAATCTTTTACCCAGGGGTCATTTCGTAGAAAAAGAGGTGCAGGAGCTCATTAGCATAACTTATTAGCATAACTTATTAGCATATGCCACACACCCTGACATCACCAGAAGTGTGTCAGAAGGCAACATCCACCGCTCAGGCTCCACTGGACTGTTTTCAATTGCTAGCTATTGGGAGGGGGAACGTGCAGATCTGCCCTCACAGAGGAGGGAGAGCTTGTACCCTGGCTGCTTCTTGCTCCTCGTGGTCTGACTGAGGGCTGCTGGGAGCAGGGGGCGGGGCTTGTTGCATGTGCCCGCCCCCTGGGCTCCTTACTGCCGGAGCTCTGTTCCTGTGCGCTCTCGCAGGAAATGACCCCTGCTTTTACCACTGATTTATTTCCTTCTTTCTTTCTTTTTTATTTTTTTCCATCAAGTCATTGCTGACTTATGGCGAACCTGCAGGGTTTCCTTGGCAAGAGACCTTCAGAAGAGGTGGTTTGCCATTGCCTGCCTCTGCGTAGTGGGGTCCTGGTATTCCTCGGTGGCCTCCCATCCAAATACTTACCAGGGCCAACCCTGTTTAGCTTTCAAGATCTGACGAGATGGGGCTAGCCCGGGCTGCCCAGGTCAGGGCACGTAGAATGCCAGTAAAAACGCAGTAACGACACGCTGCCACAACGGCAGCCAAGTTTCACTGGCAGCGGGTAGGTGATGACAGACAGAACTAGGTTTGCCCGGCAGCGACTCTGTACTTACGGAGCCTTTGTGGTCTGTGCCATTTGTCTGGGATCTGGAGCTGAAACTGGGCTGCAGAGTGTTGTATTGGCCATTGGAGAGCGTGAACCCTGCAGAAGGCAAAGAGATTGAGCAGGATTAGTTAGGAATGCGGTGTCTGTCAGCCAGCTCATAAGAACATAAGAACATAAGAGATGCCAATGTTGGATCAGGCCAAAGGCCCATCCAGTCCAACACTCTGTATCACACAGTGGCCAGAAATACCAAGGGCCACCAGGAGGTCCACCAGTGGTGCCAGGACATTAGAAGCCCTCCCACTGTTGACCCCCCCCAAGCACCAAGAAGACAGAGCATCACTTGCCCCAGAGCCCCTAGCTATACCTTGTGGCTAATAGCCACTGATGGACCTCTGCTCCATATGCTTATCTAATTCCCTTTTGAAGCTGTCCATGCTTGTAGCCGCCACCACTTCCTGTGGCAGTGAATTCCATGTGTTAATCACTCTTTGGGTGAAGAAGTACTTCCTTTTATCCGTTCTAACCCGACCGCTCTGCAGTTTCATGGAGTGCCCACGAGTTCTTGTCTTGTGAGAAAGGGAGAAAAGTACCTCTTTCTCTACCTGCTCTTTCCCATGCATAATCTTATAAACCTCGATCATGTCACCCCTCAGTCGTCCTCTCTCCAAGCTAAAGAGCCCTAAGCGCCTTAACCTTTCTTCATAGGGAAAGTGTTCCAACCCTTTTATCATTCAAGTAGCCCTTTTCTGCACTTTTTCCAAAGCTATAATATCCTTTTTAAGGTGTGGTGACCAGAACTGCACACAGTATTCCAAATGAGGTCGCTCAACAGCAGGGGCAGCAAAAACTTGGAAGGAGAGGCACCGTCTGACCAAGACTATCCTGCTTCAGTCCCTTGGTGGTGGGTGGGAAGGGCTTTTAAGTCGCAGCTGACTTATGGGGACTCCGTGAGGTTTGCCAGGCAAGAGATCTTCAGAGGGGGTATGCCGTGGCCTGCGTGTGCACATCAACCCTGGACTTTCTTGGTGGTCTCCCATCCAAACACGAACCTGGGCAGACCCTGCTTAGCTTCCAAGATCTGATGGGTTAAGCCTGGGTCCTCCGGGCCAGGGCGCTTCAACCCTCAGACTCTAGGGAAAACACTGTGGACGTGTGACTGATCCTTACTTCTGATTCTAGCTTCAGTTATCCCCACTCTGTGGCGAGATCTCGGCCAGGGTTCTAAAACTACTATCCTCTGATATTTAGGGCTCAAACGGATTCGACTGAGACGACACCTCTTGGTGTATCTATAAAATGCAAACTACAGGCTGGTGCAACCTCAATTTGCCTCAGGGGTATGCAGGAAAGGGGAGAGGGGTGTATCCCTTTATCCTCCACTGGATTTTATTATTCAGCATCAACCCCTGGATCTTCTATGAACACTTTAAAGGGAAATGTGCATATTTTAAAAAACACATACGTTTCCTTTTAAAGTGCAAATGCCAGAGCAGGAGGAGTTGGTTGACACTCCCAGTCTGAACCTCCTCTTCCTTTCCTGGACAGCCCGGAGGCAAACCGAGCCTGCAAAGCCTCATATTTGCATATTATAGACAGACCAGGAAACCTGATTTTTGTTTCTTCTGTCTGAGCGCTAGTCATACTATTGGTTCATATTAGTCAATACTGTCTCATGTACTGAGAGCCAGTTTGGTGTAGTGGTTAAGTGCACGAACTCTAATCTGGGAGAACCGGATTTGTTTCCCCACTACTCCACTTGCACCTGCTGGATGACCTTGGGCAAGCTGTAGTTCTGGCAGAGCTGTTCTTGAAAAAAGAGCCGTTTCTTTCAGAGCTCTCTCAGTCCTGTCACTTCTGGGTGTCGGGGTTGCGACACGCGTGCGCTTTGCGCGCACTCCCGAAGCAGCGCTGGAGTCCCCCGCTCCAGCGCCACTTCTGACTTGGCAACCCTAACCTCACCGGGTGTCTGTTGTGGGGAGGGGACGGGAGAGGAGTTTGTAAGCCGCTCTGAGACACCTTTGGGTAGTGAAGGGCAGGGTATAAATCCAATCTCTTCTTCTTCTAATTAGGCAAACAACGTTTTTTTTTTTAAAAAAACACCTCAAAACCCCACAGTCATTTCCTGGTCCACTACTTAAGATTCTATAACTGAAGATATCAGGGAATGAACACATAATTGGGACTGGATGTACAATTCACTCCTTGAAATTCCTAATGCCGTATTGGTATGAACTGCACATGATGCTTTGTTACTGTGTAACTGAGCACTTCTGTTCCAGCACAAGGCAAGACAGAATCAAGCTTGCCTTTGCGGGTGGTGCCATAGCTGGCAGGCATGGTTGTACTGTTTGTTTTAGTATCGCCTTTCTTGTAATTCCTGGGCTTTTTATTATCAAGGGAAAATGTCAGAATGAGCTTAAGGTTACATAGAATGGATGTTGTATTACACATAAAGGTACCTGCAATCAAAACTGACCACTTGTTTAAAACAGGCTGAAGTCGAGCGGTGTCTAATGACTGACTTAATGACTTGTCTAAATGAAACTCCTCTTTGCTATTTAATAGTTATCCAGAGCCAGGTAAAATAGATCACTTATATCTAACTGGCTAGTCTGGTAATCTTTGTCATATTTGTAATCCTCGTGTACTCTCTTTCAATCATCGGTTCATTGATGCAATCATTGCTGAACACAAGTTAAGTTTTAAATGGAAATACTGTCACTGGATACCCGGTTTACTGTTGTATTCTCAATTGTTGTTTTGATGATTACCTTCTTGTTATACATTCTATTTGAAAAATTTAATAAAAAAGATTTATACAGAGTCTACCCTCCAAAGCATCCATTTCCTCCGGAGGAACTGATCTCTGTAGTCTGGAGATGAGCTGTAATTATGGGAGATACCCAGTTCCCACCTGAAGGCTGGCATCCCTAAATCATATATCCATTCTGTTTCCAAATAGGAACCTCAAGAGATTCACAAACAAAAAAGTGATAGTACTGGCCAAGCCTTCTGTCCCTTAAGATCTGGTACTCAGCAAAGTATATTGTCTCTTCACATAGGGTTACATTCAGCTATTTTCACTTTCTGCAAGATGTATTTTAAACACAGAGGAATACATGCCACAGTCTGTGTGGTGAAAGACCATATTGGCTGGTTGAAAACGGAATGTGGGCCTACAAGCAAACATGTACGCAATATATGGGCTCAAGGAATTCAGAAACAAAAAAGGAAGAAGACTCTTGAGAGAGTCCCTTGGACTTCAAGGAGATCAAATCAGTCAATCCTAAAAGAAATCAACCCTGACTGTTCCCTGGAAGGCCAGATAATGAAACTGAAGCTCAAATACTTTGGCCACCCAATGAGAAGGGAGCACTCACTGGAGAAGACCCTGATGCTGGGGAAAAGATTGAAAGTAAAAGAAGACGGGGATGGCAAAGGATGAGATGGTTAGACAGCATTATCGAGGCAACGAACATGAAATTAAGCAAACTCCGGAGCACGACGGAAGACAGGAGGGCCTGGCATGATGTGGTCCATGGGGTTGCGAAGAGTCGGATTCGACTGTGCGACTGAACAACAACAAAGATTAACAGATTTATTGGATGCAAGCTTTCATGGAGTATATCCTCAGTTGATATGTGCATTCACATGTGTGCTCTCTCACACTGACACGCAGAATCTGGGCTATATTGGTAAGTTTAAATGTATTCATTGAGATCTTAACTAAGTTTCTTACCCCTATAGGTGTTCAGTTAGGCTATAAAGATTGTGCTAATGTCAATTACTGCTGTTGTAAAAGTCACTGTGCTTATCTAGTACATACATTTGGGCATTGCATAAAAAGTATTCCAACTGAGGATGAAGTAGGCTACAGTTCATACAAAACTTATACCAGAATAAAACTGTTAATCTATAAGGGCCAAAATTTAGACTCCTTTTTGTGTTGCTGTAATATACCAGCTTGGGAACCACCACCAAGAAATTCTGGAGAAGCTGAAGCTACAGAACCTTTGACGCTTTGAAACTTGCGTCATGAAGAGATTGGCCTTACCCAAACCTCTATTTATCTTTATCAGTCTAACTTCCAGAGTGACTTGTAATAAATTCCTAAGTGATATCAACATTCCTAGACGTTATGGCTGAGACATAGCTGTTCGTCTGGATTGCCTTGGTTTTCTTCTAATCTGCCTAGACTAGTCTGTTAAATGATGTTGATTCTCTTCACCTTGACTCGCTTAACTGTTAGCTCTGCTTAAAGGTTCTCCTGCAGATGGACGTCGGTCTGAACTCCCCTCCCATTGCTGGCAGGCAGGGCCACTGTCCGTCCTTAGCGGTGGATTTGCTCCGAGGTACCTTCACTCACTTCTTAACTCTGAGCAGTGAGCTGTGGCACTGAAAACAGAATCCTGGGCCCAGTTCAGACTGGCAGTTTGCCCCGATACAGGCGCGCGTGAGGAACATTTCACAAGCAGATTAAAGGGGCTGTTCACACCGGCACATCTGTCTGGCGTTCCCCACCCATACTCAACCCGTCTTGTAGCGCTTGCCTCCCAGGTTTAAAAGATACCTGGTGAAAGTGGTATAGAGGCATTTGTAAAACCTTCGCTCTACATTAAATACCCTAAGTGGAGATATGAGGATCTTCTTGATCCAAAAGGGAACTTATTTACAGAAGATATTTTAAAAGAGCAAGGGACAAACTTAACATGGTAGGAGAAAAACCAACTGATTTCAAGATGGGCAAAAGATTAAAAAAATGGGTATTTATGAAAACTATACTGAATTAGATAAGATCTGGCTTGGTACAAATGAAAGATTTATCAAAAAAGCCTGTAATCTTTGGATAGAATGGAAAATGCAAGATGAGTGGGTGAAACCATCTATGATAGCATGGGCACAGGACATAGGCCACAACATAAATTTAAACCAATGGGATAAAATCTGGTCGAGAAATATAAAATTTGTAAGAACAAGTGCTTTTAAAGAAAATATAGTGAAGATGTTCTATAGATGGCATATATCCCCGGAAAGATTAAATAAATATAATCAAAATATAGGAAAAAATTGTTGGAAATGTAATTACTGTAATG